TATAAGGCTCCTCAAGGACACCACATTAGCATATAAGGCTCCTCTGGGATGCTACATTATCATATAAGGCTCCTCAGGGATGCTACATTATCATATAAGGCTCCTCATGGAGGCCACATTATCATATATGGCTCCTCAAATAGGCTACATTGTTATATAAGGGACTGAAAATGAAATTGTGTCTGTCACTGCTTCAACAGATACTATGTCATGTTTATCAACTTAAACATCTACTTTATCTATTCTGTTTATCTATCTTTTATCTACTTTCTCAACACACATGTACACGCACACACGCGCGTACGTAAGCATCCACGCACATACGCACTGAAGCACACACTCACACCCACACAAACACACCCACAAAGATCTCCCAACCCGTGGGAATAGCGGGTAAGAAAATAGGTCCCTAGCAACACACGCTTAAGAGGCGACTATGGTTGTCGTAAGAGGCGACTAACGGTATAGGGTGGTCAGGCTCGCTGACTTGGTTGATGCATGTCATTGACTGCCAAATGCGTGTATCGATGCTCATGATATCAACCAGTGGATTGTCTGGTCCAGACTCGATTAACTACATAGTAAATACATACCTCAATCACATAGCTGGAATATTGCTGAGGGCGGCGGTAAACAACAAACAAACAAACACAAACAACCCAGAATATCTACTTGTCGCCGGGTAGCGTATTGCCCTTTGCTCCTAAACTATATTGTATACACACACACACACACGCACGCAACACACACACACACACACACACACACACACACACACACACACACACACACACACACACACACACACACACACACACACACACACACACACACACACACACACACACACACACACACACACGCCCGCCGCCCCCCCCCCCCCCACACACAGACACACTCACACACAAACACACACACACAAACACACACACACAAACACACACACAGACTCACGCACACACAGACAGAGACACACACACATAGACACAGACACAGACACACAGAGACACAGACACACAGAGAGACACACACACACAGAGACACACACAGAGACACACACACGTACACTCTCTCACACTCACTCACATACACACACTCACTCACTCACACACATACACTTACACACATACACACTCACACACACTCATACACACTCACACGCACACACACAGACACACTCACACACTCACGCACACACACAGACACAGACACAGACACACACAGAGACATAGACACAGACACACACAGAGACATAGACACAGACACACACAGAGACACACACACATAGACACATACACACACAGAGACACACACACAGAGACACACAGAGAGACAGAGACACACACAGACACACACACAGACACTCTCACACACACACTCACACTGACACACACTCACACACACACACTCTCACACACACACACACACACACACACACACACACACACACACACACACACACACACTCACATACTTACACATACACTCACACGCACTCACACACACCCTCACTCACTCACACACACTCCTACACATACACTTACACACACTATGACTATGAAACCCGTGAAGATCCGGGTTAGAATTGGTCTTCATCCACCCAAGGCTCCGACTTACGGAATCGGGTGGTCAGGCTCGCTGAATTGGTTGATACATGTCATCGTATTCCAACTACATCGGTGCTCATAATGTCAATCACTGGTTTTTTTACAGTCCGCCGTCATATCACTTGAAGACTGCTCAGTGCGGCGTTACACAACAAACAAACAATACACAGAGATGTGTATACAAACTGAAGAGGAGAATATGTGAATGTTGTTTAATGCCGTAATAAGCAACATTTAAGCTTAACCACGTCGTGCTGTAAATAAAAGATTCTGGATTGGTCAAACCAGTGATCGAAAGCATGAGTAACTTCCGACTTCATCGGGCTGCTGGGGTTTTCGGAATGAACATGACAGGTATAGTCTTCAACATGGCGGGGAATGTTTTTTTAAAAAGCAGGCATATTTTGACAAAATTATTTTGTTTAAAATACTTTTGTCAGCGAATGACATAGGCATGGACAAACATAAGCGTTCGCTGCAGGATGTTGGCTCCTTTAAATGAATCCAAATCCGCCCTCTGATAATTCGTAACCACTCGTGCCATTCCGGGACAGATTACGGAAAAGGGCGTGTGATGACGAATGTTATCGGTCGTATTCAAAACAAAAATGAAAAAAAGGGAGAAAAAAACTTGATTGATGAGTAGACATGACATATTTCGTGAAGAATCTCCAGCGGCTAATGAATTCTACCACAGACACGTGTAGTTCGAGCTTGTTTCCATAGGAACGCCACGAGAAAACCTTCATCCCTTCACCACTTTATATATTTTGATTTTTTGCCGTCAGCACTGGAAACGAAACATGGCGGATCATAAAACTGAACAGATATAAACGTTGGTCTATCTATTTTTGGGACCAGGGCAATCTCAGTAACAAGATGCGATGGGGTAGCCCAGTGGTTAAAGCGTTCGCTCTTCACGACGAAGGCCCAGGATCGATTCCCCACACGAATATAATGTGTGAAGCTTATTTCTGGTGTCCACCGCCGTGATACTGCTTGAAGAATGTTATTTAAAGCGGGGTAAAACCCAACTCACTCACTCTGTAACAACGTTTGGGGTCAAAGGCATGAACGCATACTGGTAAAAGGCGACATGCTTCACATGAGGTCCTAGAACTTCAGACACTTCAGTTATGGATATGGTGGTTACAAAGTGTGACCTTGTCTCTGCCATAGATCGCTGCTAGTGCTATAACACATTGGTTTGCTGGGTCCAAAGATGACCGTTCATGTACCGGTGTGACATAACTGTTGTATTGACGGCCACAACGTACAGTAACACTCACACACTCTATCGTCCAGTTAATCTACACAGCGGTGAGGTGAAATGGGGTTTAAGGTCGCGTCCAAGATTATTGCACTTATATAGCGACGTGAATGCACGTGTTTGTTTGGCTGATTGTACTCTTCCAGATTTATAGTGCTAGCTCACTGAGATACCATGCCGCAGTTTAACATGAATACCGCAGACACAGTATACTGACTCCGAGCCGACCAGTCCTTGTTTAAGCCCGGAGCGCCAGGCAGGGTAACAACAAGTACCATCTTTTAACCGTCTTCTTGTATGACGCGACCGGGGATCGAACCCTCTACCACTAGACCACGTAGGTTCTCCTAATATACACGAAACGGGTCACAATAAATCATTCTGACATGTAAACACGATTCTCTCTTCAAAGTAACTATGGCCTGACATCTTTTCCCTACATGAAATATATTGTATATTTTGCGATATCTGTAATCATACGAGTCCATTTCGACTTAATCATAAGCATGTGTTAATAATTTATAAATCACCATCAAATAGTCACGAGAAGGTGAGCGTATCCTGCTCAACCCGTTGTACCTACCACAAACCGGGGGGGGGGGGGGGGGGGGGAGGTCGTAAAGATCAAGGTTAGAATTGGTCTTCAGCAACCCATGCATGTTGTGAGAGGCGGTAAACGGGATCGGGGTGATCAGGCTTGCTGACTTGGTTAATGCATGTTACCGTATCCCAGTCGCGTAGAGCGATGCTCATAATGTGTCAGTTACTGTGGATTGCCTGGTCCTGATTGGAATATTTACAGATCGCCGTCATACTGCTTGAATATTGCCGAGTGCGACGTTAAACAACAAACAAACCGACTGGGTAAGCGTCATCTGTGATGATTCGATTCTAAAACTAGTAAAGCATGGTTTGCAGGCTCCAAACTCATTTCAATCTTAGTTCAGAGCTAACTGAAACAGAGCAAGTTGATCAATGACACACAAGTCACTATACACAAAATCCGGGGTAGAATAGGTCGACTATGCATGTCGTGAGAGGCGACTAACGGGATCGTGTGGTCAAACTCGCTGACGTGGTTGATGCATGTCATCGTATCCCAATTGCGTAGATCGATGCTCATGATGTCAATCACTGGATTGTCTGATCCAGACTCAATTATAGCTGGCATATTGGTGAGTGTGGCGTAAAGAAACAAAAAACAAACACTATACACATTCGAACTAAAGAGTTATCTTTTCCTTAATACACTCTATATCTATGGATCATACTTAGAGAACTGTCAAATGCCATACCAGAGGGAAGCGGTATAGAAAGGCGTCATATTGCTTTGCGTGTGGTACAAAGAGGTACTACCGCCTCAAGTGTACAGAAACATTCAGCACATTTTGAATCCTCTGAGAGCCTGCTAGCCCAAACAGCAGCACGTTGGCAAAGAAGCTAATGTTTTGTTCCTAGGCAACGAGAAGAAACAATGACACATTTAATCCTTGAGTTACTTGTAGGGCGGATAGTGTTAATTTACGGTGTGGAATGTGACCCTAGAATAATAATATTAACAATCTCTATGATCTCCCAAAACCTGAAAAAAACACAGGCTGGCCATGGTTGTTCCTTATTTGTTGATTTCTTTATTTAAACGGAGAACGATTTTTTGTTTTATATGAAAACAAAATTAGTCTTGAAGATTTAAAATACATATCTTTCAATTGGAAATCTGTTCAAAGGATGCCTTCAAACATTCTATGGACGGACAGAACAGGTGCTCACGTATATTACCTGATGCACTGCATGGTACTATGCTCTATATATGATAGACACCTGCTATTCTCATGCATACTACTCCAGTCAAAAACGAACTTTCTCATTAACGCCAATTAACACTTACATTTAGCTTTCCAGTTACAAACGACCCCTCCCAAATCCTGCTCAGCAGACCAGGGTACCCTGCACACTCTTTAAGGGCAAGGCCGTGACCACCTTATTACCCCAATATAACACACCTCCTGTATCGTCAAGCACCTTCATAGTGGTCTGTAACACACCTACACCATAGAAGCTCGGCTGGCGCGGCATATCGAGGTTGTAGGGGAGGCAGTGTTCTGAGAGTAGGAGAACTTGATTCAACAGCGGACTGCTATATACTTGGAAACTAATTCAGTCTACATGGGAAATAGAGCGCAGGGAACACGAGCTTTGGCTTCGCATGGTGCAGGATGGATTGAAGCTTCATTTGGGATATTTGGTTGATCACTGAGAATCTTAAAACAAATCAAGTGCTTCCGAACGAAAAGGAACCCATCTCCTGGAGGTAGGTGCCACGACTTATACCTGTGCCGGTATTTTGATGCGGGGAAATTCAACTACATCTGGGTTACATTGATTGACAGGGTTTGGATTAATAGCAAGGCGTGACATTATTGTGCTAACGCTAACTTTGCCAACACCACATTCGTTCTCCACAGAGAACAGACCAGAAAGTAAGTTCAACTCAAGCTATACATGACAGCATATTGAGGATTTGCAGACAAACCGATATTACCACATATCAGCTTGTTGGTTGAACAGATTTGTTTTGACAGTGTGTTCTCGTACATTAATAGAATGACGATTTAATGTAGATTGATCTGAGTTGAAGTCACCATGGGGCAGTGATAATGTCTACGTGAAGGTTTTACGGAAGCAGTGTGATACTGTTGTTTACTTGATCGGGGTGGAACAAGTACGGCTTGAGACGAGCCTGTGGTCATCTGGGCCCCCGGGGCAACACCAGGGGAGGGGGGGGGGGGGGGGGGGTACAACCAGGGGAGGGGGGCACAACCAGGTTGTTTATACAGCGTGGTGTACTTGAATGTCAGGAACTGTAACCTGCTACTCGTTGCCCTTATTTTCCATGAAAGGTGAATTCTTAACCACGACTCTCTTCACTATCGATGCAGTGTCGTTATGTGTGTCAAGAATCCAGGTGGTTCCATGTGTATCGGTGGAGTAGGCTCGGGTCTAAAGCACTGGCCTGTAACGCCGGTGATGCCTTCATAGTAGACTAATGCTCAGTCTCTGGTAATATATAATTTTATAGACACAAGCAACTAATTGTAAATTGAAAAGGAGCCTCAGAATGTTGGGAGCGGAAAATCTAGTCATTTAGGGTTATCGCAGTACAGTAAGGGCTGGCGGAAGCGGAACTAATATGGTTCAGGGACTGTAACAGACTATCTACATATAAACACTGTGTGAATGCGTGTTTTGTGATCCCCTTCGTGACAGGACGGAATAATGGGAAACCCCGATTCACTCACTAATTGTGCTTTTCCATATCAATGTAGTTACTATATTACACAGGCGCACTCACACACAGACACACATACACAGACACACAGACACATACACACACACTCTCACTCAACAGATCCCTTCGACCCTTAACACACACACAAAGACACAGACACATACACATACACACTCGCTCACAACAGATCCCTTCGACGCTAAACACACACATAGACACAGACACACAAACATACATCCCATCAACCTTTAACACGAACACACTCCCAAACAACAGACCCAACTGACCCTTATCACACACAAACAAAAGACCCAACTGACCCTTAGCTCGCACACAGACAACAGACCCAACTGACCCTTAGCACACACACACAACAGACCCTACTGACCCTAATCTCGCGCACACACAACAGACCCAACTGACCCTTATCACACACACACAACAGACCCAACTGACCCTTATCTCGCACACACAACAGACCCAACTGACCCTAATCTCGCACACAAACAACAGACCCAACTGACCCTTAGCACACACACACAAAAGAGCCAACTGACCCTTAGCACACAAACAAAAGAGCCAACTGACCCTTAGCACACAAACAAAAGAGCCAACTGACCCTTAGCTCACACACACACACACACACAACAGACCCAACTGACCCTTAGCTCACACACAGACAACAGACCCAACTGACCCTTAGCTCGCACACAGACAACAGACCCAACTGACCCTTATCACACATACACAACAGACCCAACCGACCCTTATCACACACACACAACAGACCCAACTGACCCTTAGCTCACAAACAAAAGAGCCAACTGACCCTTAGCTCGCACACACACAACAGACCCAACTGACCCTTATCACACATACACAACAGACCCAACCGACCCTTATCACACACACACAACAGACCCAACTGACCCTTAGCTCACAAACAAAAGAGCCAACTGACCCTTAGCACACACACACAACAGACCCAACTGACCCTTAGCACACAAACAAAAGAGCCAACTGACCCTTAGCACACACAAACACAAAAGAGCCAACTGACCCTTATCACACACACACACAACAGACCCAACTGACCCTTATCACACACACACAACAGACCCAACCGACCCTTATCACACACACACAACAGACCCAACTGACCCTTATCACACACACACAACAGACCCAACTGACCCTTAGCTCACACACACAACAGACCCAGCTGACCCTTATCACACATTCACAACAGACCCAACCGACCCTTATCACACACACACACCAGACCCAACTGACCCTTAGCACACAAACAAAAGAGCCAACCGACCCTTATCACACATACACAACAGACCCAACTGACCCTTAGCTCACACACACAACAGACCCAACTGACTCTTATCACACACACACAACAGACCCAACTGACCCTTATCACACACACACAACAGACCCAACAGACCCTTATCACACACACACAACAGACCCAACTGACCCTTATCACACATGGTGTGAAATTCACAAGTTCTGTCACCAATTTCAATACCATAACTCCCATAGTAAGGCTACAGACACAGCGATATCTCTGTAGACGTGTTTCACCTGCTGTTAATGTGATGATGTACGTCACAATGCAACAGGTGAAGAGCTGTGCTTATTGCGCACAGAGACTAATTCAGTCAATATCAACGCCATTGACCATCGTAGGCACGGACCTTGTCCGATGCAAATACGTGTAAGTTCTACGATAACCCCGGCGTTGTTCGAACATTGTCGCATGGGAAAGGAGCATTCGTCACCACTCGCTCCTTTCCGTAACCTGCATTCGGCTTGTCGGGTACATTCGTGACCAACTCCTGTTATTCCGGGACAAGCCGAGTTACGGAAAGGGGCGAGTGGTGACGAATGTGTCGGGTGATGACACGAGTTGATCACGAGAGTGGAACGGGTTTAATAGATTTGCAATGAGTCTTCTGTGATATCACACTGAATCTTAAAATCCTGCAGTTTTATTTTGCTGAACTACTTACCATAGGGTATTATAAGCGATTGCCACTGTTTATAAAATGAATACATTCATGAAAAGCCTCAACATGAAACAGTATGGCATATAGGATTTCGATATTCAAAATCAAAATGATATTCTTTTGTGGCGACAGGCTGAACGCTGTGTTTGTGTATGGAAATTTGTACATTGTATTCGTATTAATATCAATGTGTCGACATCGGGCCGAACCATATGTTTCACAAAGTAAAGGGTTACAAACAGTTCGTTGTCCTATAGCACTAGTTTGTCGAGTTCACGTGCGTGAACCACGTGATGTGATGTGATGTGATGTGATGTGAGGTGAAATTTGATTTAAGGTCGAGTAGTTTAGTATGGATATTAAGCATTTGTGTGTGTGTGTGTGTGTGTGTGTGTGTGTGTGTGTGTGTGTGTGTGTGTGTGTGTGTGTGTGTGTGTGTGTGTGTGTGTGTGTGTGTGTGTGTGTGTGTGTGTGTGTGTGTGAAATGCCGGATTTATAGAGCCACACACACACGCACGCACGCTCGCACGCACGCACGCACGCACGCTCGCACGCACGCACGCACGCATGAACACACACACACAATGAGGGCCTTTGTACGCATATTGGGGCCTTACACATAGAGCGAGCGTACAGTAACAAATACTACTATATGGAAGAACACATGCGTCCTTCACATTAGTTGATTTCATATTGGGTAAAACGTGAAGAAATAGGAGCACACCTGGTGATCCCACTCTGTCAAAACGACCCTACCTCCTCAGCCATCCTACAACAGCTGGGGACTCGCTCAATAAAATATCGAATTTGTCTTGGATCTCCATGCCGCTAACATTACACATACATCAATTGTTATTGAAATTCAGCCTTCCTCAGATAACTATAGTTCAACGTGGAGCTCCATGAACACCGGTCCTATTCTGCACCGTTTGGATTTTAAGTTTTAATCTCGTCAGACCATCTTCAATAGACTTGGGTCTACACATTTTGTGGGGACTTCAAAAGATGACGAGGCGGTGGTTGATCAGGGCGCTGCACCCAAGGCCGTAAGTCCTCTTTACTTTTGTTTTAATTGGATCCTTCGTGGAAACAATGTTTTCTTTCATACACCATTACTATTTTTGGCACTCCTTGTGCTCTTCCTTTGTATCCGCCAGTGTGACTGACAATGCAAACATGACCAACATGTATGCATCCTAAGGCAAATGGCGTGTCATATGATGCTTCGAGAACTGACAGGGGCCACGTGTGGCCCAGTCGTCTAATTGCAGAATTGCGTCTCTTTGGCAAGCCAGAACTCTATGATCAAGGTTCGAATCCAGTTTAGTCCTGATAATGTTTCTAGGTTTGTGAGCACCATGCCTGTGTTCGTTGGTTTCACCGAACTGATAAACGTCTCAGACCTTCATCACCTCGGGCTGTCCTCCCACGTTAAGCTGACACGACGTGATATAACTGGAAAACTGTTAAAAGCGGTGTTAAACCCATCTCACCCATTCTCTCACTCATTCACTGACTATCTTTCGAAACCATGTCGTGTACTCAGCGATTTATTACATACACAATTTGAATGCTGATATGACGATCTCTCAACGATTTTCTAGAGACATGAATATCGAAATTTGCATTTGAAACTGACGCGACAAGTTCCGGAAGTGATGCTTGTCACTATGCAAAACCCGGTTTGTTCATATTCAAGTTTGCAATATGCGAGCTTAACGTTATTTCGTTTTCGTCTGACTTCAAACTTTGTGTACTTAAAAAACAGATTAAATAAAAATATTTTGTATATATATTATTGACAGGTTGCGTCACCTGTTTCAACAAGCCTGATTTCATTGATGCCTCGACTTGCCATTTACAACTTATCATTTACAAATATTTGGTAAGAGGCATCTGTAATCAATTATTGATTTCATTTGGCACTGTTGCATTTCTTTTAAACGGTGATCTGATGTTTTTAATCATGTTATGTTTGTGTTTTTTATGGAGTATATTCAA